CGTGCCAGGGCAAATTTTCTCAAGGGAGAAGCGGCTGAGTCACAGCAGCTCCGATCCGTTCCCACAAGCCCGGCTGCGAGAGGCGCACGGGAGTTCAGGGAGGACAGGCGCTCCACAGCGAGCTGGCAGGCTCGGGTTGGTTTGCTTGTCTGCAAACCTCTCTAAGCCAGCGGAAAGCATCTCTCTGGCTCCGGATCTGTCGGCAGCGTGCCCTCGGGGAAGGGCTGGTGAGACTGCGGGAGGGCAGGGTCCTGACCTGCCTTTCAACCAAGGCAGAGCTGCTTTGGGATGCTCCTGCAGCATGAGGGGGAAATGCCAGCAGGCACTGGGAGTTCCATTAGAAAATGGAGTTTTGAAGCTCATTGTGGGGTCTTGTCCCAGCTCTGGGGCAGGAGCAGGACAAAGGTGGCTGCACACAGGGAAGAGACAGAGGCATAGCACCAGGGGAAGTGATTTGCTGGACATTGACAACCCCTCTGCCCATGATCCCAGCTGCTCCCAGTAAAAGCAGGCAGGCTCCAGCCTGGCCAGGGAGCACAGGGGTGTCTCTCTCTGTTTCTGCAGTGGGCCCCAGACCCTGTGTTTCCCCTGCATGGCAGGTCAGGTCTCTGCCACACACTGCCTAGAGCAGCACAAATCCATGGGGCTGCCCGAGGGATGGGATAAGACTGGTGGCTATTAAAAGCTGCCTTTTGGGTGAGCCAAGCTGCATCCCCCAGAGCTGGAGCCAGGAAGGTGTTGTGGCCCCCAGCATCCACCCCTTGGGCCAAGGCACCAGACAGGATCCATGTCCCCATGACTTCACCTTTTTGCTCTCTGTGTCACTGTGCCCAAGCAACCTCTGTCCCAGCCCTGCCTCCTCCAGCCAAGTGCTTGGATGGTCCATGGGCATCCCACCCCTCCTTCCCAGGCACCAAACCCCTACACTGCTGTCTCTGCCACCAAAGAAGAAACAACCCCAGCAGTGCAGTAAATAACCCCCCCACACAGCAGAGCACTGGCAAGCAGAGCCGGGCACATCCATCACTCTCGCAGTTTTTCTTCAGCTCTGACACTTTGATAGGGGCGAGGGGGTGGGGAAGGAAAGGAGCTTCCAAAATTTATGAGCTAGGATTTAAAAATACAGTCTCCCAGAAGCACTGCAAAACCCAGAGATGGTGAAGGCGAGTGGCTTAGAAGTTGCTTTTGGAAATGAATGCAAAAGCTGTGCCTGCCTTGGAAAGAGGGACTGGAGAGACCTGCATGGCTGATGTCACAAACCACGGCCCCAGTGGGATCATTTTGCATGTCACAGCTCTCCGTGCTGTGCATTACAAGTAAAGTGCAAGGTAGAGGTAACAAATGATGGGCTAAAATCCCTGCAGCCCAAAGGGTAATGTCGCCCTCAGTGCAGACAGGATTTGGAGACTGTCACCTTCAATCTCCCAGTTTCTCCTCTACATCCCTGACCTTCCACTGGTACATGCATAGCCAGCCTTCCAGCCCTTTTGGAAACAGATCCCCTTCATGCAAAGAAAAGAGCTTGTAGCTGTAAATTTAGCTGAAAACATCTCTGCCACAGGGAATCACGTATCAAAAAATAAAGCTAAATGAATGTCAGGAAGAGCAACCACAATATTGGAGTCCTTGGTCTTTACAGATGGACTGTCCCTCAGCAGGGTGCTGCAGAATTAACAGCTGAAAAATGTTACCCAGTCATTAAAAACATCTAAAAGTAATTTAGGCTGAGTGACAATGATGCTCAAAGCAAGTTGTTTGTGGAGATAAAATGAGCTATTTCAAGCTTGCCTTTTGTTGAAGTTTTTCTGTTGAAGTGGGAAAGGACTGAAAAACGCTGAGCTGACAGCCTTGCCAGCAGAGCCCTGGTGCTATGGCAGCGCTGTGAGGAGCATCACCATGAGCTGCTCTGATCCCCCCTGCCATCACTCTCCCATATTCCCTGCAAGGATGCTCAGAAAGGTCCGGGAAGATGGTCCCCGGGGCCACCACAGCATCTCTGCTGCATCACAGTGCCATTTATGATGATGGTTTTGCTATGGAAACATCTCCTCCTAACAACAGATCTGTCAGCACATGTACCAAAAGCAGACCAGCATTCATTACATGGTAATTTCTGCTACCCTGTGATGGAGGCGAGGGACTTATCCTTCCCATGCTTTTCTTAAAAAAAACAGAACAAAAAAACAACAAAAAAAAAACCAACAAAAACCCAACAAAACTGAACAATGCGAATATCTGGGTTCACCCATCAACAGCATGGCATGAGCCCAGGGTTCCTCTAAAATCTTCTCGTAAGCATATTTTTGGTGGGCTCTTTGGACACACAGAGCACTTCAATGCCCAGTGTTAAATATTTCAGGTGAAACATAACTCCTCTAAGTGCAGTCAGCCTTACTCTGAAGCTTCAATTCAGTGGGATTTCCCAGCAGCCTTCAGGAATTGATTTGCTTCTTGCTGGTACCTTCTCTCTGTGCTGTTCAGCTAAGTTAATGTATTCCAAAACCTGATTTTTTTTTCCTCCCCCTACATAATCAGATTTTTGGAGGCTGCAGTGAGATGCCTCACAAGCAGTTTTTGTCCTTAGGTGTTTTCTGAGCAGGCTGCATCCATCACGTCCTGGTGCTTTAGCACATCTCTGTATGAACAGTTCATTCGGGAGTCAGCTGAATTCCTTTGATTCATGTTCCTGCATATCCATATAGCTAATTTACCTTTATTAAAAGAAAAAAAAAAAAAAAAGAAAAAAGGGGAGCTATTAAGAAGGACAGTGTCAAGGCCAGCAGAGCAAGTGCTGGAGGGCTGGGTTAATGAGCGGCGTGGTTGCTGCTGTCCAAGTGCCCAGGCTGGCTGGAGCCAGGAGCTGCTGCCCCAGCAAGGCTGACTCAGTCCCTCACTGGGCAGACACAGGCTGCAGGGCCCTGCACTCCCCTTTGGAGTAGTCCCTATGCTTTGGGGTCCATGGTGAACCTCACTTGCTCCAGCCTTCTCCCTGGTATTTTCCAGAGGATGGGCCCTGTGTGTGTTCAGCTTGGGCCAAGCACTGTGCCCAGCCCAAGCTGCATCCCTGTGCTTTGGGGGGAAGGTGGAACACGACTATGGATAAATGGATTTGCCCTCACATCTCACAGGAAGATCACTCTGTTCAGTCCCATGGGCCAGACAAGGATGCTGTCCCTCTGCTGCCTGTGCCAGCAAGGTCACTGAGCTGTGCCCTGGCAAGGACACTTCCAAGGAGAGGGAGCAGGGATTTGCAAGACGCTCATCACAATCATTTATTCTTGTCATTTCTGACCCTCAGGGTAGGAAGAACATCAGAGCACTGCAGGCACAAAACAACAAGCTTTGTAGGTCATATCAGCGTGTAAAGTACCATTAGGAACCACAGCACGAAGCATGAATAATACTTTCTTTATTCCATCATATACCTCAACGCCCTTTAAATAAATGCAAATGGTTTTTTGTGGACGAGGTTTGTACGAGATGCCTGCTCAGGGACTCAGGGCTGAAATGGAGCTGGAGCAGTAATTTTGCTCTCCCCCTGACAAGTCAGAGTGTCCTCAGCGCTATCTGATAGGCTTAGTGACAGTCCAAGCCAACCCAGGCAGAAGAGCCAGGAGAACACTGTAAATCTTCCTCGCAGAGATTTATGCTCTACCCATTAAACCAGAACCACAAAACACACATCCTTCCATGCTACCCTCCTCTCTCTGAAGGACACCAAGGCAGGAAAAAACTTTGAAGGACTCCAAGCCTGGAAAGGGACCTTCAAGAGCCAATCACATCGTTTCTGAAAAGCCACCAACAGTCACAGCCTCGACGGCTTAAATCCTAAAATCCTTTCAGCAAATTATGACCTCGATTACTAAAAATGATCAGATAACGCAAAGGCAGAGAGAGATGCGCAGTGAGTCATCGCCCCCAAGCACTTGAGCTCCCTTTGGTCTCAGCTGGAGTGGGGTGAGGTTGCCCCCAAGAGGCAAATCTGACACAGCGAGTAGAGAGGAAAATGCTGAATTGTGCTCTAGTGGTACCACATAGGAAAAGATTTTTTTAAAAAAAAATCTCCTCATCTGCTCTTATTTGTACTTCTCCCTACATCTTTGGATGGGGTGGGAGGGGAGAGGAAGGAGGTCAACTCTGGCATGTGGCTGGCTGTGTTCTGCTGGAGTTCCTGAACCACACAACTCGTTTTCCTAGTCTGGCTCACAGGGTCATTAGAAAGATCAAAAAATGTCACTGAGTTTTCTTCAGCCAAATGAAACATTTGACCCCATACACCTCACTAGGCTCCTTCAGAGCAAGGGCTGGCACCACTTTCAACAGCAACTTCTGTCTCAGGAGTGGATGGAGAGACAGAATGGTGGACACGATGGACTGCCTGGAAACTGAGAGATGACATGAAATCCCTCGGCTGTTCACGTAAAGCATACAGGCATTAACAGCACACTGGACCAAATCCTAGTACCTTGCAGGAGGTGAAGGAATGGGGCAGACATCTGGGATATCTCCCCAGCACATGCTCCACCCTCCAGGGATCAGCAGCCGGAGCTTTCTCAGCCAGGGAGAACGGCTTTCATTTCACAGATCCCTGCTGCATTTTTCTGCCATAAAATGCTCTTTGAACCTCTAAGCTTTTAGCATCCACATCCTGAGGCAAGCAGATCCCCAGCTCCTGTCTCCTTTTGTTTGCTTTGAGCTTTCCTGTTAATAAAAGAACTATGGAGTCTGAAGCCGTATGACAGAGCGCCATTGAATGGCTTCTCCTTATTTGCCCTTTTTCAGGCCGATTGTTGAGCTCTCCATCTTACTTTTCAACATTACAACTATTTCAGAGAGATGCAGCCGACTTAGGGCCACTGCAATTTATTCCTGTCCTTTACACACACACAGAGACACCCTCACAAAGGGCTAAACCTGTGACATAACCACAGATTTAACCATTCCTGCAGCTGCTTTTCAAGAGGACACAGATCAAACACCAAACCCCCCGGGGTACTCACTGCTCCTGCAGCAGGCTCCTTGTGGGTCCCCTGTCCTGCTCAGCCGGAGAACATTCCTGCATCCCCAGCAGCAGCGCCCGCTGCAGCACCTCAGCTCCCTGTCAGCTCCAAACTGGAAGCGTCATCTCCAAAATTACTGTTGCGCTGCCTCCTGCCAGACTCTTAATTAGAGGAAGGCTGACACAGTTTCTCAGCAAACGGCGTTCGCATACTGCGGGAAAAACAGAATGAGGGCAAGAGGAAAAATGGGCTAATCAGAGAATCAACTGGAGGGAAAAACACGTTGCATTGTCCAAGCCTTGCCATAACAATGCTGGAGCACAAAATACTGAGGGGGAAAAATGGGTTAGTACACAGGGGAGGCAGGCAGTGCTTCACAAAGGTGAAGGAGAGCTGACATGCAGTGCAGCAGCTCAGCATCCTCACCTGGCAGGCCTCTCCCCACAGCCTGCTCAGGGCAAAGGGACACGCTCAGTTTCCAGCATGCAGATCAATGTGTCTGAGAGCCTGGGCGATGCTGTCTGCGGAGCCCACGGCTGCTCTGCACGATTTACACTGCCTTTATAAAAGCCTGCAGTGTGAATAAAGCATGAAACTGGATGCCTTGCCCCACTCTCCCCACCACTGCCCCTGGCAGCTTGAAGCTATTGTTTTTGTTTCAGCTGCAGCCTGGCGGTCAGTCCGGAGAGGAAGGGGACCCTCTGCTCCTGCATCTGCCCCGAGAGCCAGGAGTTCCAGCAAGCCTCGGGAGGAGAGAGCCTGAAACCCAGAGGCAAAGCCCCGGAGCCTGTGTGCCCACCCCAGCCCAGAGCGCTCACTGCTCCGGTGAAGGAGCCCCCGCAGCACAAAAGCTGCACAAATCCATTTACCCTTTGTGCTCCTCTCTGCGAGAGGGAAGGAGCATCATTCGCCCGGCTTCAGGCAGCTTCAGCCGCAAATGCAAACCCAAAGGGAAGCACTGGGACAAGGGTGTGTGAAAATGGCCCCTTTATCCACCCCCACACACCATGCGGGCCAAACCTGCCTTGAAAAGTTTTGGGTTTCCCCCCAGGCTGATGGCAAAGGCGCTTTGATGACAATGAAGGGAACAATTCCAGTGGAGTTTCCATCCCCTCCCCTGTGACCTCCCTACAGGGAACGGGGAGGTGGCAGGGAAGCTGAAGGAGGTGAAACATTAGCAGCATCTCACCACGCAGAGACAAGGGAGGCATTCAAAAAAGTACTACATATCCAAACGCCACTTAAAAGCAGCCTTAAAGCATAGGACTGACTTTCTCCAAACAGATCAAAATATCAAGATGGAAGATGCAAATGTTTTTCTTCACTCCTCACCCAGCCTTGCTTTTGCTACCAGATAAAATACTCCCTTTCAAATTCCTGACTGTAAAGGCGAGGAAGCGCTGGCTGAAAAAAGCATCAGGAGGCAAAACTAAAAGCCTCTCTGCAAAGAGAAGCCCTTCAAGGAATTCACTTTTCCTAGGATCCTTCCCACCAGCAGCCCACGCCATTCCCCAGCACTGAAAGCCCTTTTCAACACGTGATAAGAAGGGGCCCTGCCAGTAAAGCTGGCAAAATATCCACAAGGCAAAACATGAAGGTATTTCACAGCCTGGGGGGAATATGGGGAAAAGGGCAATTAAAGGAATTTTGATAAGTTAAACCACAAGGAATAAGCTAAATCCACTAATGATTGTCTGACCCCTCTGGGCAGCTCCTTTGGAGCTCCTCAGCAGCTGCTTAGGCTCCTACAAGCTCATCAAGCCTCTTCCCTGCTCAAAGACAGCCAGTCCCAAGAGCCTTTTCTCTCTTTCTGGATGCAGAAAGCAGCACTAATATGCCAGTGCAAACAGCTGCCCCTCGGGCAGAGACAGAGGGCAGTTTTCCCACTGGGGAACTTTAGGCAAGAGGCAGCTTTCCAGAAGCTCACAAACCCAAGGAATAGGACCCCAGAAAAATTAGGAGGGTCATCTTCAGCAGAAACCTTTCTGATTTGCCTTTCTCAGTAAAACAAAAAGTCACAACCACCACAAACCAACAGAAGACAAACCAACAAAACACAAACCCCAAGCCAGGGATACTGTGCTACACATACAGCTCCCCTGGGAACGAAAACAAACAGAACACCAGTATTAGTACTGGAGCTCCAGTATTCCTGCTAGTGACAGGATGGGCAGAGGAACCCAGCTACCTGGAAGTACTTGCCTGAATCTCCACAGCAGCAGAGTCTGTTGCAGCCCCTGCACCCAAATGTTGGCCCCAGGACTGGTCCTGGGCAGTGCTGAGCACAGACATCTCTCATGGAGACAGACCTGGCTTTCTGTGCTCAGAAAACCAGCACAGCAATTTTATTCTGAAACACTTGCCAGTTTCCCATATGTGAATGAACCCTCAGTATTAAGTCTTTTTCCACACTGAAATCCTACCTCTAAAATGCCTTTGCAGCAATCTAACCAGATCCTCCACCAATAACAACAACACACTTCAAATATTCCAGTCACGTGCTTTTCCCAAAGACATCCTCAACTAAATCATTATCTTGGGGACTTCAGAGAGTTCCTGCAGCTGCTGCATCAATGAAATGTCCTACTGACCTTCAGCCAGATCTACCTGCATATCATTAATCACTTCTGAAATCCCCATCCATTACCAAGTTCCATAACAGGAACAGTTATGGAATATGAGATGCACAAATAGTTTCACTGCTAGGTTTCTTCAACTTTAAAACCAGAATTGTTTGGGTTATTTTAAGCCATAGAGAGGCTTGTCAGAAAATTAAAGGAAAAAAAAAAGGCAAGGAGCTACAAACATATTTTACAACCAGACTTTAATTTTTTTTTCCTGTTGTTACTGCAATAAAGTGCACCTACTTCCACATGAAATGCGATACTTTGGCTCTTAATATAGCCAAGCCAGTATCAAAAGATAGACCTCAAGTGCAAAATGCTTCTCTGAAGACATCCAAAGCAGTTAAGACCTTTAGTGTGCAACAACCTTTTGCAGGAAAAGGAAACAGCCTTTTCCAATGCATGTACGTCCTGGCTGAGGAACAGCAAATGAGTTGGCAAAACACAAGGGCAGCAGGTTTGCTATTTCACTGCCAGGACCCTCTTGTAAAGACCCTGTAGTGATGCTTGGGAATCATCTCTGTAAGGATTCTGATGAGCACCAATTTAACCCACACCTAGACCTCAGCTCTTGAGGAATTACTGCTCAGCTACAGAACAGATGGAAGAGAAATCCAGACCAAGCAGGAGTGGGGGAAGAGGGAAAGTGCTGGAACAGGCATTAAGCATGAAAACACAGGAGTGGCTGAGCTGAGAATGATTTCAAGACTGTCTCCATCTATAATGAGCTAATCAGCTGTGAAACCAAGAATTGTAATATGTGCCATAAGAATAAAATAGGACCTGTGGCCATTTGTTTTTTTGTGAAACAGAGCCCATTTTCTCTGGGGACATTTAACTAAAAAGGAGTGTCTGGTTTTATTTTTTCATTGTTCTGTTAAATGAAAGTAAATATCAAAGTGGCTATTTTGTGTGGAAAAACTCTCAGCAGTTTCAACATGCTTTGAACTGCAGTACAAAAGCTGTTCATCTAAACTCCTCCCCTTTTTGTCTTCAAAATATACAGGCCAGCAATGTCAACTTTACACCGTAAGAAAATATATACACATTAAATACAGTAAACATTCCACATTTTTTTACCTTTATACAATATTAGTGAAAAAAATAAAAACATTAATAAAATGACATACAATATATTCAAAGTAAGCAACTGTTACAAGAGGGAAGGCAGATGAGCTATCCAAGAGCAAAAGATGACATTGACATAGCAGTGTGACACTTGAAAAAAAATAACATTTAGTAGGAATTTGCAAATCTAATAGATTTCCTCTAAGATGTGTCCATTCTATACCAATTCTTTTATATGTAATACACATAATTAAATTTGAAGGTCTTGTAGTTGGCAGGTTTTTTAAGCCTTATTTTACATTCTTATCATACAGAATTCCATACAAGACAGAGCAATCTACAAGAATTAAAACAGTATTCTAAAATACACATGTTGACGTTATTAAAAATCTCTTATTATGGGAATCCCCATTGGTGTTTTTACCCAATAACTGAACTTTTTCTTCCTATTACATCCATTCCACAGACAAACCACAGTGTAAGATTTAAGTGATTGCATTTGTACAGAGAGCACAAAAGGAGATCACATCTTCCTCTGCTTATTTCATAAACAGCTCCTGGAGCTTTGAGCACATATTGTCTGTGCAGCAGGACTTCACACCAAGGAATTCAGTCATCATATGGCTTTCACAGTCCTACAAAGGTGAGCCAAATGCTGTTCTCTAATCTCCACTGAGATGATATTTTATTCTCCGTTTAAAGAAGGTGCAACTGCTGTATTTTGTATTTTTAAGAGACACTGGATGTTGATACCAATTCTGCTTTGCAGATTACCATGATTCAGCCCACATCTGAATGAATTCAGCCCACACTTCCTCACCTGCTCACAACAGGGGAGGTCCAACACTCCTCCTGAACTCAGATTTCATGTCACAGGGCAGTTCTTTCTCAGCCAACCTAAACAATGCTTGCAGGTATGTGCTGGCAAGAAAATAAATACTTACTGTTATCAAATAGGTCCTGTGATTAACAAGGGAAACAAGAAAACTTCCCTCAGCTTTCAATATAGTAAAGTATTTCTAGCCAGTTCTGATAGGGCTGTAGGAACAGCTGAGGTTTTTCAGTTGATCCACTTCAATTTTTCAGAAGTAGAGTACTTGTAGTAAAAAACAATGTTGGTCAAATCAGATTCTCATGTGTCTAGAGCTTGTCTGAATCAAGCTCAAGTTCTTACTCAGGTGACTGATTTCTTCTGTTCCAAACAAGGTGAAGCTCCATTCATTCTACATCCTCCTTGATTTCAGTTTCTGCTAGTTTCCCTTAACTAGGCAAGATTTCATTAATCTGGCACCCAGAAGTCATGCAGTTTTCCCTAGAGAAAAAAACCAAATTAGCATACAAGTCAGAAATTCAGTGTCAGAAGAAATTAGTAGAGTAGGCAAGTGCTTAGCTTGGGAGCACCACAATGTGCTGGAATTTTATTCTGAAACACTTGCCAGTTTCCCATACATGAATCAACCGCAAATACCTCCAAAGAAACAATACTGAAAGAGCCACCTTGTTACCAACTTTCATTAATTTCTAAGCAGATTCTGTAGCCATGTGTTACATGTGTCACTTCTTGCTCTGGAGTGCTCAGAACATAAAATATCACACACACTACACAGAACTTCTTTTTTTGCACATTGTTGGGAGGAATCAATAGTCCTTACTAATGGTTAATGACAGTTTTTAACTGGAATCAATACTAGGCATAATGTATAATTTAAATTTTATGAAAATGATACTCTGCAGTACAGCTAAGCTTTTCCAAGAGAGATTGCTTTATGTTCCAAGACAGGACTCACACAGGTGGTCTGAACAACACATTACAACTGAACCCTTACAAGCCAAGGCTGGAGGAAGGAGCTCTGAACTTTGTGTATCAGCAGGAATTATCCACCTATTCTACCAAGGCCAGCTAGATGCCACAAAGGCAAATATTTCTGAGACCTTTGAAGGCATTATTTACTACTGCATACTTTTACAAACATGAGAGGCTTTGCCTCATCATGCCATGAAATTTGACACATTTGAAGGGGGAACAGTTGTTGAGAGCCCTTAACATGGGCTCTCATGGGCCTGGACTCAAGAAGTCTCAAAGCCACACGGTGCCAGACCACAGCAGGATGTGCCTCACTGCATTCCTGCCCTAATTTCCTTTTGGAAGCATCTGCTAATAGTTGTAATCCGAGACAGGCCCAGTGACTCGACTCAGGACTGGGATTTCAGTGTATTACACACACCTTTACAAAAACAGAGCTTTTAACAATGGAGAGGAGATCCTGCTTTTATTGAAGCCAGCCATGTAAGAATTTTAATTCAAATCCATTCTAACACACCTAAGTGTATTCCACAGCCATGCCATTTATATAGAAAAATAAAATCTCTTTAAAGGATTTGCCATTTTCAAGCGCTAAAAACGGAGTTAAATGCACCCTGCAATGAGGGAAGAGAAGTTTCATTACAGTACCTGAGTAAGCCGAGTGCTTTGTATCACGTCTTGCCATTTCTCAAATATCCTGGCAGCCAAGCAGCTTACCTGCAAATTCACATTGATTCATTTAGCCATTTTTGTTAAAAATGACAAAACCATACCCTGTGCTCCCCCTCACTGCTCCAAACTCAAAAATAAACAGATAACCCAACATACCAGGTTTACTGGAAAGGAACAATTTTATTGCCAGGAAGTATCATGATCTCAACTTCAGGTCCCTGAAGCTCATTACTCTGAATTGAAAGTCATGCACTCCACAAACATTAGAGGCACATGACTCCCCAGGTTGAGTGTTTGGAATCACCATGCAAACCTCTGCCCTCCAAACACCACCTCATCCCTGGGAAATGAGGTTTGTCACAAGTGTGATTGTACCTAGAGCAGGTGCAACTGCGGCCACAAAAGCCAACAATGCAGCACTGGCTGCTTCTGAAACAAATTCCTTGCACATAAACTGTGCTTTTTCATAACCAAGCACAAGCAGGTGTTTAATCCAAGCCATTCACACTGAGATTTGCTTCATCTGCTGTGTTAAAACCCAGCACAGTGGCATCCTCTAGAAGTTACTGCAGTATTACACAAACAAAGCAATGGAGAAACCAGAGTAAGATTTTCCCCTCTCAGTGCAAAGACAAATAGAAACAGAAGTGAAAGCAACCAGTGACATAACACTCCAAGGCAGGAGCAATTAACTTGTTAGAAGGATCCATGCTCCACTAATCTGAGTAAGAAAAGAAGAATGTTTTTGAGAGGTAAGGAAACACACAACTGCAAATGTCTGATTTAAAGCTGAAGAAGACAAGGCTTTTCAAAGCTGGGGCCAGTGACTTTTTCACTGAGCTGACTTGGTTTGTAGTATGCAAAGCCTGAAGGTCACAAAATTAGGACTATCAGATGTAAGGTTCACAGACAAAGCAAACAAAAGGCAGCTGTCCGAGCTTGATGCTACATCACATACAGCTGGCTTAAATCCAAAGCACTTTTAATCAATTCATTTATTTGAAAAATAAAATGCAAGACAGGCAAGTTTCTCAGTCCTCTGTACCTGCCCTGCAGGTAGGCTCTGCTCTTACAACTGGAGTCAGCTACCAGTGACTGCCACAAAGAGAAACAGAGCAACTCTGTGGGCCTAAACGTGGAGATGCCTGGCTAAAGGGATGACCAGTCACATTTCAGAGCTGCTAAGAGTCCCATTGTTAGCATTAGGAGGATTTTCAGTGAATTAAAATGGGCATTCCATTATTTATTTATTTCCACACAAAGACATGATGCAGATAGAAAAAAAGAGGAAAAACCCCCAGGCCCATGAGGGACTCCTAGAATATCTAGGGCTGAGATGAGGGAACAACATGCACCACAAACACAAAAAACCACCCCAAAACCAAAACAAAACACAAAATCAAGTTCTGCATCTTACCTTAGACCGATAAAACATTCTTGCATCTTCCCTTATGTCACCTTTCACGTGCTTAACCAAGGCACGACAAAGCTTCACTAAGTGTTGCTAAATAAAGACAAAAGTGTACAGTTATTAATCCTCCATGTCAAAACTACAGGCTTTATTTAAATATTATATCAATTTAAAAATTACATGCTTCAGTTTGAATTTTTCTCAGAAATACATAGTTAAGAAAGGGAAAAGAAAGAAAACAAGGTCACATGGCAAGATCCTCTATCTGTTGTATCCTCCTGGTAAAGCAGGTCCAAGAGTTTTTAAAAGCAGCTTCAAAGTATAGCAGAGCTATACAACACAAATTCTAAAGTTCCTGCTAACTAATTTGAAAATCCTTTCTGCCCCCAAAATAGCAAAAACAGTGCAGTGCCATTCACATCTTTTATCAGCAAAAAAATTCTGAAGCTACAATAGCTGAAAATAACCTTTTCAGTAATGATGACTCAGGTAATTTCTTTTGTAGGAATTGGCTGAGCAGGTAAAATATATCCAAGGTTTTATGCGCTGATCTTTTATTTTCTCTAAATTTCTGATTACTTTAATAAAGCAGTTTTGCACTTCAGGATCTCTTGATAATGACTCCCAAGGTCTTTCACATTCTGTTAATTTCTTCATAAAATTCCTGTTTTCAATCTCTCACTGAACAGCTGCCAAGAGGCTCCACTCTGCAGAACAGGTGAGACATGCTGAAATTCTATTTATAAACATTTGCTGGTGTCTCAAGGCCACCACAATTTATCCTCTCTAACTGGAAGAGGGGCAGAAATGAAATAGTTAAGATGGATTTTGCACAAGTTCAGCCTGCACAATATTCAGCCATACCTCTCTTGCCACTTGATGGCTAATAGGTCAGTGAATTATAAAGTTTTTCTTCCTTAAGAAATTGAGACATTAAAAAAATAATTGAAAACATCAAGTTCTCCACAAATCTAAGTAATACTGAGACACCTAAGCATCCAAATGTAGCCAAACATTACTGGTTTATGTCTCTCAAACAGTTCCTGTGACAGATTTCTTAAAAGCCAAGAGTGATTCTATAGGGCAGAAGGTTTACACAGACACCTTGCAGCAAGCAACTCCCAGCAAATGATCACAGAAATCTGAATAGAAATACTGAAAGGCTAAGCAGACAGAATTACTTAGATGTTCACATCACATGGCAAAAAGGAACTACCACTACAGAGCAGAGCTACAGTCCTGCTTTCACTTGCTGCACTCCAGCACAGGAAACTGAAATGTGCTTGAAAACGTTTTACTGGATATCTTTGAAGTGATTTTCTCCTAGACTGAAAAATTTCAAACCGACTTCCAAAGTTGACAGAACCATTTGACTTAGAATTTCTGTGTTAACTTTACCTCCAGATACCTTCTGAGAAAGATTAACACAACAAATGCCTGCTCTTTCACAGCCTTATGTCTGGAGGTAGCTGCGTTCACAGAAACACAGAAGAGTTTTCTCTGCAGTAAACACACAGAAGTTCTTCTGCATTTACCTTGCCCAGAACAAAAGCTTCCCCCAGTGCTCTTATGCACTGCTGATCTTCCATCACGTGATAGCTCTTGCCAAAACACACTAAATGTGCATGATAAACAACATTTTAAAATCTAAAGGTCTAGCCACTAAAGTTACTTACCCTTTGACTAGAATTTACAACATCAAGGAAACTGGCTTCACTGACTAGATGCAGGAGGACATAGATCAGGTAGTATACCTGGAGAGAAATCAAAAGACCTTTAGCAGTGAAAGCACCATTACTTTAACTCTTCACATCTAGACATGGAACCATCTCTGCTTTCTGGAATGAATCCTCCAACAGCCAGGCCAATGGACAAGTACATCAACATATCTGCCTAAATAACTAATTTGAAACAGTATATTCACATATTAGAAACATTTTAAACCAGGATTATTATACTGGTTTAAATAACCTAAGCAATCCATAAAAATCTGGTTTTGCTAACTGAAAATTAAATTCAGCAGTTGGCTTTATTTTCCCTTCATCTACCCCCAGATCAAAACACTTGCCGAGAGATTCCATGACAACCACTTAAATAACCAAAGCAATATTCAATTTTTGGATGGATGGAAATACTAAATCTTTTTAACACTTGTTTGAGAGAAGATATTAATAAAATATTTGCAAATATTTTCTGAAACCTGAAGTTAAAGTTTTGGCTCAGCACTGAACAGTTTTCACTGATTACATCAGAAGGGAGGGAAGAATGTCCTCTGATTACAGAAGTAGAGACTCAAGACTTCCCTGTGACTTCAGAAAATTTGACCATTTCCCTGTTTGCAAAACAACCCAATACAGGTTCCTCCACCACATACTCCTTTCCTTCCCCCATGACTACAACCAAAATTAGTAATATTTTAAAGATGAACAGTAACTAAACAGTGTATTTACAGTTCCACATAGAGAACTGTTAAAAAGCAAAAGAAATATTCCCCAAATAGTATTATAATATATAATATTATATATAAAATATTAAAAAAGATGCATAAAAAACAAAAGCAAAAAATCACTTGGCTATATACCTCATGTTCTAGTTCTGCATGAACTTCATCATCTTTAAGCTCCTTCTGCCCTTTTCTCATCTCTCTCATCTTCCTCAGTAGATAAGAAGGTTTCATGCGCACCAGAAACTGACGCAGAAGAAACATCTACAGATACAAGCATTAACAAATGGGACTGACTAACAACAGAAAATTGGAAACTGAGTGCCCCTACAATATTACTTATCCATTGGAACAGGAACAGAAAAGGGATTTTTAATCAAAAAAGAAGTTTTCATGCTTTGAGTAACTTTTGACTATTCACAGACTTCAGTGTTTGTACACTTTCTCAATAGAAGATCAAACCTATGAAAACAGTGTCTCCACATGATTACAAAAGGAAGACTCAAAGAAGTGTAGACTTCCTAATGACTAAAACTAATGTCTAGGCATATAAACAAGCACAAGCTGCAGAGCATGCAGATTCCACACATGTGCAAATGCACTTTTAACACTAATCTAAACAGAAAATTATTAATTGGTCATTTGGCAAAGTTCTTGAAAACCGGCTTACAATACTAAAATATAAAACACAAGCATACAATATTAATGTTTTCTGAACTTTCAAATTCTACAAAGACAATACATGTAAGCAGTACCTGCTTGTCACTGTCATGAGGTATTTCTACATGCTTCTTATGAAGAAATTTTGCAATTACCACTAGGCTAAGGTGCCTTTTTACTTCCCTGAAAAACAAAAATTATTTCCATTAAAATTTTTTAAACCCACCATTTCTACAAAGTATGTGAGGCTATGCCTGTCTTCCTTAGACATAAACTTGCTTGCAAATATTAAGCCGGATTTTCTGAATATAGGTGCAATATAAACCAGTAAGCTAGCTAGTAAAACAGAAGTATCCTTAATCTCATTGCAGCTCAGCTTCTGCACAAGTAAACAATGCTAGATACTTGTCTCCAAGCCTGAAGGTAATGACCTAACTAATTCTGCTCACTCACTCACATTATAGTTTACTAATTTCAAAGATATACAACTCAGAATACTTAGAAGCAGACATGAATCACCCAACGAAAATTTAAATCTTGGTCACTCAGACAAGAATTAGAGTGATGAATGTCAGAACCTGAAGCTAAGCCTTCCTTTGCTACAGTGCACCAAGAACCCACAGCCCAGAAACTACATAAAGGATTTAACAACCCTTTTTCACAGCAGAGGTAATCAGGAAGGTGTACATGCACACCAAGGGTTGCACATACATCTGTAACACATGAGAAAACAAATCCCTTTTGGTTTTGAAGTGTGAATGATCCATGCATTTCTGACACGACAGCGTCATTACCGTCCGCGCGCGATGCAGCTGGGCACCAGCTGAACGAGCCACAGGAGGTTGTGGGGATTGCTGGAGAGCTCACTCACTGACAGGCACAGCTCAGGCATCTTCAAAAGAACAACAAAACATCCTGAAACTGAAGAAGGGCTGCTTGCTTTAGTTGCAAAGGAGCACACGCCTACTCCCCAGAAACACAGGCGGCATAATTGATAAAAGGAACTGATCTAACAAGAGATGACGTACATAAAAATGTCTGTGCTGCACCAGCAGGTGAGTCTGCTAAATACAACTTAAAGCAGGGTAGTTGAGATCAGAATGTTTTTAATGACAGCTTACCAGCATATTGCAATAATTTCTTAATTCTTTCAGAATGCCATTTTAAACATACAGCTATTTTAGCACACAATCTTAAGATAAACAAACTTGTAGAAGAGGACAGGCAACTCAATGTCATGCAACAAAAACCCTCTCAGTGTACCCACCCACCCACTTCCTAAATGTCACACAAACACAAGGCTTTGAATTTTTCATATTATTATTTGTACTATTATTGAAAATCCTGTATTACATCTTCAGCCAGTACTTTTCTGATACGTCAAAAAAGAAAAAAAGAAAACTTCAAACAGAAATTGCAGTTTCACAAATCTAGTACAATAAATCTATGACGTTACCTTTGTATCCCAGTCTTTTATATTCATCAGAAGCTTGAAAAAAAGGCACTGAAAATCTGTCAGAAAAGGTTTTAACTGTTTCTCCAAGCTTATTTTAAATAGCAATATAAGCAGCAGCCATATCTCTTGGTCAGTATATCCATCGTGAATTACTGATGTACAGAAAACTAGAAACTTTAAAAGAAATACAAAGCATTAAAACATGGAATTATTTTAGTTTATTTTGAAGCATGATGAGAACTTAGGTTTTCCACACTCACAGTAAAATGTACCTCAAATGATGTACTGTTTTGGCAACACTTGTCTACTAACATGTCCCTCTCTCCCAGTAACACCACCCTTTTATTTTAATACCTGCTGGAGACTCATTTTTTTGAGCAATGGCAATATTGCCCAGATACCACTGGAGCAGGAAAAATCTTTCTTTGCTACATAGATAATCCTCCTTTAATTGAAGGAAAGGCCAAAATATTTTCTAAATACTTCAGTAATACTGAAAACCGAAATCAGTGGATAGTTTCTTCTATGTGAGGGAGCCAAGATATTCTGTAAAGAACCACAGCTGTATAAGGGAAGCAGAAAAACTCTGCAGTTGGGAGTGAAGCCAATGGAAGACAAGAAACTGAAGTTTGCAAAATGCCTGCAATAAATTCTGCTGAATGTGAAGCTGAAGTCTCAGGACAGCATCTACTCAAACACATTCTCAGGACTAGATGGCAAACCCTATCCCTCCCTCCCAAAAATAAACACACACACACACAAAAAAGAAACCCAACCCACAAAAACCTTGGAATTTTCTCACCTTAATCACATTAATTAAATTGTTTTCAAGTAGATTGGGGAACACTGGACTGGCAGTGGCTTCATCTCCTCTTGGCTGTTGTTGACTCGCTGATTCTTGCACCTGACTTCTAATAGAAGAAAGACAATCTGAGCAAAAAATGAACAAATTCAAAAGCCCACAAAGGTTTATTGACATCAAACTGAAGGAAAAATAATCCTGCATGTATCAAAATGCCTTCAAATCCAAATACTCTCCAGTTCCAGAGCACCCAACACACACATCTTACTCCACTTGTAGCCAATTACTTTGCCCAGCTATTTAGCCAGTATTCCTGCAAACCCTCACTAGGAAGATGCAGGACAAGGACAATGCTCTGGTTTGCTGAATCCTTACCTAGAAGGCATTGCTTGAATTCCAGAGTTATTTATTCTCACTAAGATCTGAGCCAAAAACTTATAGAATATGGGAAAGGAAATAAAGAATAAACTTCTGATTCTAGATTCTGAGCAAAAAAACTTGTTTTCACAGTATCTAGGAAAAAAAATCAAAAGGAAAACACTTACAAAATATCATGCTCATTGAAGGGGGGTTGAAGATGTTGCAATGGAAAGAGAGATCTGAACCCAACACCCATATTGACAAAAACAGTTGATATATCAGCTATTGAAGGAATCCATAGTTTAAGCTGCTCATCACTGATGGAAGCTACAAATAAAAGACATGGAATGGATTAGTTTAAATTTAGTTCTTAGAATTAGTTCCTTTTAAGGGAAACAAATAAGCTTAGCAGTTTGCATCAATTCTACCAGCTCTCATCTCAGAGCAGTCAGTACATTAAACAGTAAGCTTATTTTCAGAACAAGGAGGGAGGAAAAAAAGTCTAATACAGTATCTTACACTAGGGACACATCTTGCCTACATAACAGGTCAATTGCTTTCAAGTTCCACCCATTTTCTGTCATAGTTCTCTTTCATCACAAACAGCATAACAAGCAACAAAGCAATATTTTTGTCTAAGAACACAAATTACTGCCTGTGTAGGCAAAGGTGAGGGTGTTATCACAGTGGGACTAGAAGAGAAGCTAAGTAAGACTTGAAAACAGGCAAGGTTTCTGGAACAGAAGTGGTAAACAAGGAACTCCCAGCCTTAATTATTTGAATGCTCATTCATTATCTTGAATTGTTCATTCAGAATCAAGCCTAATGCCAGCAAGGCATAAAATAAAGGAGGCTACATTGCCTCTGATACCAGCTCTGATTTCAAACAGGAACTAAAACACAGGATACAATTTGGACAGGCCTGAGCAAATACTTCAAGAGAACCACATTACTTTAACAATGTCAACTGGTAGTCTTAAATGAATATCACTTTTGATGGATCTGAATGAAGACATGGGGAACATACAAAGGAACTTGTAGTGGAGAAATATTTGAGTACAGACAAAGGAAGAAGACAAAACACAGAAGACATCAGAAGAACTGTGGGCTGAAGCAGATCCTTCAAAGTGTTTCTGTGCAGGTGTATGATTCACTTCATTTTTGTCATTTATCTGGAAAAGAAATCATGAAGTGCTACATACTGGGAATGACAATGTGAAAAACATCTTGTAATCCTTAAGCTACAAATGTCTGCATCATCCAAAGTAAAAGATGGAAAGGAGGGTAAACTTTTGAGCAGATGAGCTTCTCTTCAGGTTAATTCTATTTGTGAAACACCAGGAGTGAGTTTAAAGGCTCTGTACTGGATGCACTACTTTGGAGGTATGTGCCAGGACCATACACTGTGATACAGGTTGCACACACTCAGTGAAGGTCAGCCCCCACCATTTCTGCATTACATTAGTAAAACTAGAGCCTAAATTCAAGCCAAAATCACCCAACAGAATTAGTGCCTTTTACTTCCTCACTAACACTTTTCTAAGCTGATGAGAGAAGTGCATTCACTCAGGTCAGTTTTCCATCCTTCAAATGCTTACAGTTTTTTAGTGATAACTCCATCAATCTGTCCAAGATCTTGGTGGAAACACAATGGTCAGGATGAATAGACATCATCTGTGAAGAGAGAAGCTATGCATCAAAAACCAAGCTGCATGATGGCATCAGTTTTCTTTTAATTAGAAAAAAAACCCCACATCAAACCAGAACAAAAACAACACCAAACTTCCCAGCAGAGTAAAATGAGTAACAGATTAAAAAACAAACAAACAAAAAACCTAACCCCAAAGCCTCTAAAGGAAGAATCAAAAATTAATTATTTACAGTATCAGAATGCTGTAACCCCATGTTGGTTTTTAAACAAGTTCTGAGGGTTAAGAGAATAGAAAGTATCACATTCCCCTTTGGAGCCCATTTGTATCTGTGATCAAACTGAGCTCCCTGAGCAGGAGTGAAGGCAACAGAGTTAACCACACCCCTTTCCAGTCACAGACAAGTTGGACATATGCAATACTAAACCCAAACAATGAATTCTCAGTTTTTCACATAACTCTTAACTACAAAAGCATGACCATGAAGCACAGTTCAGATTTCCTGGAGCACTTCACTGGCCCAACAAAAACTTCTTTTTCTCCCCCAGGTGCTGGACAGTTTCCTGCTCTGCAAGTGATCTCAATTGGCTCACACTTCTTCCTTATTAGTGGAACACCAGAGCTCACAGAAAGGAGGAAAGCAATTTTTTAACTGGCTGGAGGGAAGGACACGGAAAAGCAGAATGTTTGCTTTTGGCAAATGTAGAAAGTCAGTCAACAGACTGAAGCTGCAATTTCCCAGGTGGTCCAGATTTCTTTTTTGTTTCAGGTGCAGTTAGAATGTGGCAATTAATAACAGAACGGAGACTGGAGGGAGGCATTTTTGTGAGTAACAGCACTGTGTAAATTCCTGGTGATTCAGAGACTGACACAGCTATCTTGAAAGGAGAGAGTCACCACATTTCCTTTGAAAATGACTCCAGGCTTCTTCCTGAGCCATAAGGTACCTTTTCCAAATGAAAATTTTCTGACAATGCTGGTATCACTGATGAGTTAGAAGATTATATATGTAGAAAATGGTACTTCTGTACTTTTGCATACTGCAGCATGTATTGTTTTTCTAAGAGTAAAAGGAAATAAGATTAGCATTTGCTCGTGAAGTGGCCCAAAGCACCTTTCCTCATTTACTGTGTTCTTTGTCAATGCAGTAGCATATATGAACATGGACATGTAGTTATGCATTCACTCAGAGTATGGAGAAAAGGCTCTCAATTGTTTCACCCCTAGTGACAATCAAAGTACTTCAGATGGGAGAACAAATCAGAACCCAGGAGAGAAAATAATATCCAATTTAAAAGTTGTTAATGGAACAGATTCACAAAGTTCTTCAACTGGCTTCCAGGAAAATATTACACATGCACAGTTATGATAACTGCATGAATGGCACAGACTTACCTGGAACAGCCACTTCAGAACTGGTATGGGACAAGGTGTATCATGGTAAGCAGAACTTAGAATGCCATTAACAACTAAAAAAAGCTGCTGTGATATACTAGAACTGTAAGAGAAAAACAGGAGCAAGGAAGAGGATAAAAATTGATTAGTGGTTGCATCATCACTTTCACAAAAACATAAGAACTTCCTCATCCCTCAGATCATCACCAACAGCAAAGAAAGATCTGAATATGCAAAACAGGGGTTATGCTATTACTTATATGAAATGTCATAGTAATCAAGCCTTGATTTTTAATAGCAATCAACTTTACACATGTCCTTTAGAACAACTATCTTGCTCTCTATAAAGCCATACTATACAGTCTGGAAACTGTATAGTATGGCTTTATAGAGAGAAAGCATTATTAGGGAATAATAGTTTCAAACAAACATTGATTTACACTATTGTACTATGAACCACTATGCCTGACTACACAGCCAGCCTGCTATGCTCAATGAGACCATTAAATGACTAAAAACCTATTAAACTATCCAATGACCTCTACCAACAGAATAAGAGAGAAAAAAATATTGTTTTCAAAATTTTTTAAATTCCCTTTTAACTAAAGGGTCTGGAGGGCAAACTAATGCAATTAAAATCCCACAGCATAATCTCACTGTGTAAATTTGTGGGGTGCAAACAGTAGCTGTTGGGATAACAGAAAGTGTGCCATTGCTACTACTGAATTATTGGAGCTTTAGTCACCAGGATGAGCTCAGCTGGTCAGAGCAGGGGGCTGGTAACACCAATTTCATGGGTTCAAATCCCAAATGGAGCACTCCCTTAAGAGTTGGACTTGATCATCCTTGTGGGTCCCTTCCAACTCAGGATACTCTATGAGTCTTCATTATAAAGTTAGGGATGTCATAAGCAGCTGAATTAAAGACATCCTGTTTCCCCCACACCCTTCTTTAGTCTCCTCTATTCTCTCTGTCTACTAAATCAGGTAACTGTGTTGAGAGATCTGTGTCCTAGCTCCCACATATACCCTCTACCTGCCTGACTGGTAAGACCTCCCTGTGCCAACTGGGCAGCCAGTCTGTGCCAGCCCTGCCAACTGGGTTGAATGCATAAGCAATTAAATCATAATTGCCTTCTGCAAGGGATGATCAGTTTAATCCTCATTCCTTTAGTCACTGATTTACAAGATGCTTTTGAAGCTCATACCCTTGTGATCTTCAAAACATTAATAGAAAGGCCTGAAGCCAAAGGAGTGTATCACAACCACCACTTCCTCAAGAGATGAGAAGTCACTCTCCACCTCTTCACACCCACCACCACACATACTCATGTACATAAAAATCCTTGAAGAGTAACTGAACTCTCTCAGTTCCCCCAGTGCATGTTTGGAATAAAATACCAAATGAAATATCCAGGAATTTTCAGGGTTTTCACTTGTGGCATTAGGCAAGTATTTGTCCAGCTATCTGTAGTGTGACAGCCCCATAAATATAGAGCAGCAATGCCTGTGGGTTGCAGAGCAGTTGTTTATGTACACAGAGACACACCAGTGGCTCAGTGACTGAATCTAACAGATGTCAGAGATCCTGACCCTCTGCAATCCTCATCAGAGGGAGCCCCAAGTGCCAGGCCCATCCAGCATGGAAGCACCAAAAGTCTTTCAGCAGACATAATGTAACACTAGAAGGTCACAAACAGGTAACCACAAAGGTCTTTCAGTCTGCACATGGTTAAGCTTGTGGTCATTAAAACATTTCACTTCTGCTTTTGTCTCCCACAAAGTGGTAAGGTTATCAACGACAGCCCAGTGTGGTAGAAATATGGAAGAGGCCAGAACAGCTGGTTTTCCTCATGTCTCATTTAAGAGGTTTTTCAAGAATTCCAGAGGAGGAAAGAAGGAAGCTTCAAATTACAATTTACTCTTCTGTAAAGCTAACCCAGAAAGGAAAATTCCAGGGAAAGGGAACCAGTCTTGCCTATTTAGTAAGACAGAGCTCATTTGCATGAAAAGATTAAACAGTACCTTAAAACTGCTAAAATAACAAGAAAATTGTATAAGTAAACACAGCAAAGTGAAGAGCATATTCTTACTTCACAAGCAGATATTCTATACGATTTTGAGGGACAAAGTGAAAATTCCTCAAGTCAAGGTTATGTTGAGTGAAGATTTTCCCAGCAGCTGCTAAATCAAATAAATCTTCTCCAGGGTGTTTGTCAGGTATGACATAAGTTGCTACTGAAAATCTCTTCATAAAGGCCCTGTAAAATTCAAAATTGCTTTTATCAATTCAAACACTGAGAAGCTATTTCCTGCTTGAGAAAGTTATTTGTAGATTATGAACACATTAGTCTTATGTGAAAGCTGAATTGTTAAAATACAGTTGCACCCAAGGAAATCCACCCAACCCCAAAAGATTTTTAAATGGTTCTCATTAAACATATTAACAATTGTTGGAAATAGAGAGAGGTAAGGGAAAAAATGGCTAGAAAAGGAAAGATCAATATTTCATTGGTTTTGGAGCTGCAAGGACCTGTGTTCTTCTGAGAGATCATCTCCATTGGCATTGTCCTCTTTTTCTCCATCTGAAGCATTTTCCTCTCTTTCTATGTCTTCCTGTAACCGTTTCACTATTTCCTCTAACCTGAAATAACAGCAGCAGCAGAGCATACATCACCATTTAATATTTACAGCACAATCAACAAAACCCAGGCTCTGAATGTGAGCCCTGGAGTCAGGAGCCATTTACACACAGCAACACCATGTGAAGCATTGCATCTGTGTAAAACTCAAGCATCTTGCTATTCCAAGACAAAGTATTTTTTCCCAAAACCTAATGAATTCCCAACAGCACAACCAATCAATCAATCACTGGCCTGTCAGACAAATACTCAATGAACCTCTGATAAAGTTTTTGTAATTACACAAAACTTTTGATCTTGTGGCTGAATGTTCACTTTTTTCTAAGCACCAAACAAGTATTTTATTTGGTAAACACTGTTAGTTACAGGAGTATCTGCTACTCCATTGGCAGGAAGCCCATAGTTACCAGGGTCAAATTCTTTAATCAAAACAGTTAATCACATAAGCAGTTAAACACATACTCATAACCACCACTTGCCATTAACACATAAACCACATTTCACTTCCTACCCAAAAGATCTCTTGTAAGAATACTCATTAGTTCTGTTCACTGACCTGTGTAACTACTCAAGACACCCATAAGCCTGCAAAATCTGGCAACCAATACTGAACTGCAAATGCCTTTGAAAAAACTACTACAGTCAGTCTACATAAATATTTCTATTTCATGCCTGACCAGCAGCTGCTAGCTGGCTCAGTGACCTAAAACGAAGGCATCAGTAAATTTAGCCTGGCTCTTCAGAGATAAACAGATGTAGCACAAATCATTCCTTGTTGCTTGGAGAGAGCCTGTCATTCAGCTTTTACCATTTAAGCATCACTTGTAGGTCCTGTCATTCAGTTGTATGTTGGTGGTAAAGCTTAGCCTGCTGCTAATCAAACTCCATCAGTTCTGGGGAGACAAGGCAAATCCAAGTTTCTACAACACCATCCCACATTTTTCAATCCAGCTTTAAGAAACAAACCTTCCATCTTCCTCATCCTCCTCAAAGAGATGATCTAAGCTGTTCACATAGGACACCTTGCTTATAACAGGAGCCTTAGAAAGCTGTAAATAAAATAGCAAGACATTTAAAAAATACCATAAGCCATCAATTCATTATTAGACAATAATCAAAACAGAAACCTCTTCTAATTTTAGTGATATTTTACATGCAGATATAAACCTAAAGGAGATCCTGCAAAACAGGATGATTATCAGTTTAGGTTTCTCAGTCCCTTGACAATTTTACATGAGCATTATCATCAGAAGCCTTTTACCTCACAACTCTACCATTATTATCATCCACTGAGATGCTGGGAACCCCCATTCTTGTTCATGAGACAAGAATCTCTAAAAATTACTGAGTTATTTTACTTTCAGAGTCCCTAGAGGGCAAAATTCCAGTGTTTGCTAAATGATCTCTAAATAAATCAAACAAAAGAAAACTTCCAATCAAAATCCCAATATAAAACCAAAGTAAGGCACTAATAAACAGAACAACACACAAAAAGTTTTAACAAATGTTGCTAGTGGCTTGTTTTTCAGTAGCCAGTCTTTCATTCAGCTTGTAGCAGACAACAGATTTGAAAACTTTCATGGCCATGATTCCATTCTTTGGACAAGCACAGCTCTTTTGATGCCACCCTGGTATTCAGTCATCTCTTAAATGTAACAAGCAGCATGTCTTTGTGTGGGAAATCTGCAAGAATTCTTAGCTTACTTTATATTTGGTCAATATTTGCCAAGTAAAGTGTTGAAAAAACAGGGAATCAAACCTTTATTCCAATGTACACATACATCTTTTCTTACAAGAGGAGAATGTAGATATATGCAAAAATCATGGCCATGGAAATGTTAGGACTGTTCTTAATTGTTCTATCTTACTTGGCCATTAATTTTATCAGGAACAGGCCAGCCAAATGTTGTGGTCACACATATGTCCCACAAGCATTTGCTGCATGTGTTTATCAGGCTTAACCATTAATCAGGTAGTCATGTTGGCTGAGATTGTGAAATACATATGAAACCACACAAGTCTGATCTATAACAGTCTTGATTACAGAATCATAAGAACAGATTAAATAATTATGGCTGCTCAACATCTGCCCATGGAGACAGTAACTCAGTCAACAAATAAACCCTATCAGAGATTGAAAAGCATGAGGAGAGGGGAAGGCAGAAGAGATAATTTATACAGGTATTCTGCTGTTTGTTTTCCACTCTAGAAACTCGTGATGGGCTGACCCCAGCCAGCAGCTAAGCACCACAACACAGCTTGGTCACCTCCCCAGCCAGTGGTGCAGGGCAGTGAACAGAAAAGCAAAAACAAGAGAATTAATTCATCACCATAATATCCTGTACACAGGGATTTAAAGACATCATCTATCCCCTGTGATCAGAATTCATTCAGCTTTTTGAAATACTAAAATACTTTCAATTTCCATGAAATACAACCTCAAAGAAAACACTACACTTACACTCAGATCTCTGACATTCACAGACTGTGGCAAGGATATATGACTGGAGTCTAGCACACAGATCTCTAAATGTCTGTATCAATTTCATCCAGTTAACTTCAGCTCATCAAAATCATACCTGACTAGGAAAACAAAAACATTAGACTGCACACATTTTCTAAATGTAGCCTCCTAACTTTGGGGGGGGAAAGAGCAAAAACAGAACTCCCAAAAACAAGCAGAAGGGACAGAGCTACATCAATCTGGCTGCACAAATCATCTTTCAGGCATTCCCAGGACAAGCACAGTAACATCCCTGCTCCAACTACACTGTAACTGCACAGCAGCACAGGACCTTAAGCCAAGTAAGCAGCTTTGCAGGCAAATAATTCTGAATTATCATGCATTATGAATAAGGGAGAAAATCATATAAAAACACAACATAGAGCTGATTATCTGCTATCTCATTATACTCTGCTATAGCTTTAATGGCATAATGAGAATCAACAAGAGGCGGCTGAGGGTTGGTACATTTTTGACTAAAATTAATGTAAAGTTGGTAAGGTAAACTATTGCCAATTAATGGTAATATATATATTAATGGTAATATATATACTAATTAATGGTAATGTAAACTATTACCAATTAGTCACACACATCCTGACTGAATAGGTACTAGAAGACTACTGGACATTTTAGCTGCTCAAGTAGCTTGTTATTTGTTTATTAAACTGAGCTAAATAGTATAAATTAGTTCTGTAGCACACCTAAACAAGCTGCTGTCTGTATGTGCCAGATGAACAGGTGAGGTTGGAGCAATTTTGAGTACGAGATGTCTCCATTCACCTGGGCACCTGTCTGTGTTTTGGTGGTATATCCTTACTATATAAAATTTCATTCTCCTAAAATTTGAAATATGGGGTAATAACTTAGCACCCACTGGGCCCTGCACTGTGCCAAAATCTCTATTACTTTTCTTACACATAACATCTGTAAAAGGATACTTGAAAGAATGTGTTTTTCTGGTTTTTAGCCAACTTACATGAAGCTTCAGTAATGGAGTTAGAGTGTCCTGAGAAACACTGTCAAAGGAGTCCTCCAGGGTTTTTGCCTGTGGCTTGAGACTTAAATTAAGCATTTTGTGCAGTGGCATTAATGCTTCTTCTTCTTCTTCTTCATCATCATCTAGAATGCATTCCAAAACATCATCTTCACTCTCAGAGCTGCTTTGCCATTTTCTGCTCAGCTTGGACTTGTGTGTAAAGTTCCTTTTAACTTCCACTTCTCCTGAGGCTTGTGAAGACCCGTGGCTGCTGTCCATAAAAGACTCTTCCAAAGGCAATGAAGGGGGAACACTTTTGCCAGTCTCTGGGGACAGACCAAGTTCAGCACAGATTTCCATTCTACAGCAATCAGGAGTATTTTCAGAAATCTCCTGGACTGTATTTGAAAAACTGTTGCTGGGTTGAATACTGTGTCCTTTATTCCGTTCATGTCTTTCTGGTCTTTTATCTTGCTCTTTCCTAACATCCAATACCTGAGGTAAGCCAGCAACCTGGAGAGGGGATTTCATGCTTTTTGTTTGTGTGAAGTGGTGGGGAGAAGGCAACACAGTACTTTTTTCCTGAAAAAAGGGAAGTGACTTTTCCACAAAAAAGCATGAGTTAGCCAGCTGCAATTGATTCTCTTTGGTATCCACAACAGAAATGTGGTTATTTTTAGCAGGACTGTGTGCAGAATATGAAGATGACAAACCTACAGTGGAGTAATTACTTTTCTCCTTTTCATTGCTTGAGTTGAGGAATTCCTCTGAAAGAGTCAAATCATGTCCAGACAGGGCAGCAGGCTCCTTGAGCTGCAGAACATCATCATGAGAAGACTTTAAAAAGATATTTTTTACAAAACCACCCCTCCAGTTCTTGCATTTTGGTGCTCTACTAAAAGCAGGGTCGTTCACTTCACATTGATCTGAACCATCTACATCCACACTCATGGCAGAGTGTTTTCTCTTCACAGGAGAGTCTCTTGGTTTGGAGAGCCCAAAGGATGCCTTAAGGAAGTGTGAAGAAACAGCTGGGCTCTTTGGTGCCCCAGAGGCCGTCTCAGATGATGGTCTAAATGCCTGTGGAGAAGATGCCTCATGTTCTAAGATCTGAGTCAGCCTTGTTTGAGATGGGTCATCTATGATGTGTTGGAGAAAAAGGATAAAATACCATTATCATGTTTAAAAAAATCAAAACTGTAACAATAATTGTCTTTAAAAAAAATATGCAACAGCTTTCCATTTTAAAAACTGATTTCTGTTTTTAAGTCAACTAGGACTACAGCAGCAAAGACTCTGATGAGTTTCCACAGCCATAGACCCCCTTCTTAAAGTTCATCTTCCTACTGACCTACCTCAAGCTTTTTAGATTCCATTTTACCACACATAGAACAAAATTACGTGGTTAAAAAGGTCAAAAAGCAAAAACAAAACACCAGCTCAACTTTAGTGTTTGGTTCAACAAGAATATTCTTTCTGGGTTAAGCTAAAAGACACAATTTATTAACCACCACAGAAAATGTGGATTATCCAAAACATAAGAGAAACCATAAAAAAATCTGGAATCAAGGTTTTAAGACAATGAAATATCACAAATTCTAATTAATGTGTTTTACACTAAAATCCTAAATTACTTTTAAAACTCTTCAAACTTGCCATATATTAGAAATAATATTGACTATTCAGTACTGATTATTGTTTTAGTAAAAGAAAATAGAAAACAATTTCAAAGAAAAAAGCCATTAAAAATAGACATGAAGTGATGAATTCAATTAATTAATTCTATATTAACAGCAATGCTCATACCTGAGGCAATCTCCCTTGAACCAAAAGGCATTATTTTTCTTACAGGACATCCATTTCCCTAAAGATAGAGGGAGAAAAAAAAATTTAATTGTATATTTTTAAAAAAACAATGTTGAACCTAGCAAAGCCTTAGTTCCACATACCCCCAGAAATATGTTAATAGACCTATTTTCAAGACAAATTTAAAACACAGATGCAAAGATCTCTCCAGAACCCAAATTATATATTTTTTCCTTCAGATTAAGGACCTGTAAAGTGACCTGTAATTAAAAAATACATTTGTAATAGGACCACTCCCATCTCTATCTAAATACTGTGGCTTAAATGTATAAATCTGAACTGCTCTTAACTGCAACTTCTAAATAGCAGAAATTTGCCAGTCTGCTCCCTAAGCTACATTGAAAGAACACACAAGATGAGGCATGTAAGATAAAGGCATCTTTTTCTACAAAATACAATTTCAAGTTACAATTTCTATTGCATTTCCATGCTTGCATCTAGCCCAGAATATTTCCTCTGCTTTTCCATTCATAGTAAAATGATTAAGAACCAGCTTACCCAAGCATGACCTAAAACTTAAAAAGGAATAGGAAAAGAACATAAACTGGTGTTACATTTGAAAAAGGCAGCACCAAGAATCTGATCTTGCTGTGTAAAATTTTAAAAATCTAAAAATTTAAAAATTCATATGCACAATGAATCAGTGATTTCCACCTTTAATAACTCCTTTAAAAACATCTGATACAAAACATTTGTTCCTTATAATGGTTTTACAGGATATGGCTTAGATTGTTTCAATTTCTGTTTCTCCCATTCCCTTTCTCTGCAGAGAGCTTCCAGTGACAACCTAAATGCAGGATCAGTGGGAGAGCAGGGCAGTGGAGAAGTCTGGCTTGAGCACAGAGATGTGGTGCTCACAGTGCCATTCTTCCAGCCCAGGCTTTGCAAATATCAGCTTCTGCAGGTGAAACCCATTTGTCAGTCTGTGAGATCCATGGAGTCACTCTTCTCTTCCCAACTATTTCCATAAGACAATGGTGCTCTCCTTTCACCCAGGCACTTCTCATTTCTTCCCTGTTCTGGCTAGGCAGTCTTTTCCTTTTTGGTCAAGGAATGTCCCTGAGACCCTGCAGCAACAAGGAGCTTCTGAATCACAACTTTTGCCTACAACAAACCCAGGGCCCTGCACACTCTGCCATGTTTGCACTGTCCTTTTCCTCCATTCTTTTCCAAAAGACACCTACCACAGGACTCATTTGGTGTTTGGTCTGGCATCTTTTTCTTCTGACCTTCTTTGGAGAAGATGAACTCCTTTCAAAACCTTCAGTGCATAATACAGACAGTCCCATTCCTTCATCTTTTACATTTCCTTTGTCTGGTGAGGACAGCACAGTTTTGTCTTTATGGACATGGTGTAAGAGAAAAAAAGACCAATTACTCACAAAAACTATATTGGGAAAAAAAAAAAAACCTAACCAAAAACAAAACAACAAACCCTATTATACTGTATTACTTGATATTTTCTCTCTCTCTCTCACATATAATCCAAAATTATTTAACTTAATCATCCAGTTTTGCTACTGCCATGCAAAAAATCACATGACCTATGATGCAGCTTCAGTTGTTATAAACAATCTGCCTTAAGCATGAGACAGAACTTGAAATTATAATTACATCACTATTTAAAGAAATTAATTAAAACAGGAAATTGATATTTTCAGTTACATTATTAGAAAAAATTTAAATGTGCTCATTTTGACACATTTGGTAAGCTATACTCATTATGTTGCTGCTCCACTACAGAATGAAATTGGATTATCATTCTGCATGCTTGCATAATTAAAATTCATATAAATATCTTCCACTAAGAAAAAACCATATTTACCTGGACTTAAAACTGGCTTGAAGAACTCCGTAATCAACTGGTTTCTGAAGAGAAAACATAATTTCATCTTTTTGAAAGAACAACAAATAAATGCCCATTCAGTGAATGTTACATAATTAAAATACTATAAATTACTTCTACAGATTTTCTTTAGTGCCAGCAGCTCTTACTTCTGATAAATCAGAAAAAGCATCATCATTGTCTTCACCTTCCAGCCTTCGCTCTGCTTGGCTATGAAGTTAAACCTGTCAGCTTCCTCACTCCAACTGTTTTCTTTATAATCCTGGTAAATCTTAACCACCTTTCCACCTTAAACTAAAGCTGTCCTGCATGGGACTGACCTCACCTGCAGCCAGATCCTAGGTGAGACCTCAGCAGCACATTATGTGATGACATGATGGCATTTAACATGTCCACCATCACTCTGAGCTGCTAGCCCAAGCTGGCATCTATCTCACCCAGCTTCCAACAGAGAGCAGCCCACAGCCACCCACAAGGTAATTACTAGCTTGGAATCGGAGGTTTTATCTCTGGCAAGAACAAGTGGGGCATGAGAACACCAGGGCATTCTCCACTGAAGAACATCACTTCTAAAAACAGGCAGGTTGGCCGAACAAGGTGCACTTTGAGCAACCAAACACATCAGAATCCGTGAATTTGGTATCTTCACCTTCCTCCATGCAGCTTGCAAAGACTTTAAGGCTATACTGAGTGCCTGCCTTGGAAGTGCCTGGAAGTTCCAACAAAGTATTGATGAGAGCACAGCTGTTCACGTTGTTGCAAGAACAGCAGAGGTTGGTTCCAAGTTTCATTGTCTTTCTGTGCCTTCCAAGGCAAAGTTACATTGTTGTTGCCTGAGTAACAGTGATAAAGGCAAAATCTACTTACTCCAGAAACTAAGCTAACATATACAAGTATCCATACATGACTGTGTCCCCAAAGATTCAGTATCCATATTCAAAGTTTAGGCCAGAAGAACCCACTGTGGTTATTTTTATCAGGACTGTGTGCAGAATATGAAGATGACAAACTTCAAAAAATGAAATTAATTTGGATCTCATTTTGAATCTTTCTTTAAGATTGTGACAATCAATTTTTCATTTTCTGACACAGCTTTTGCACTATTAGCACCTACAGAAATACAAAAAGCTGTTCATAATGCAGTGATACTTCTTAAATCAGGACACTGGCAAGCACTGATATTTGAAGATACTGTAACTGAGTCAAAAGTAACCTGTAATCAGAATCTGTGGGTGCACAGAACTGCGTTTGGCTTACCAAAGAGAGCAGAGAAACTACTTGTCAAAGACCAACTGCCTCCAGCTTATCTCAGCTCAGTTTGACATAGGACAAAATGTGTGTTCTTCCCACATGCTACAGCAACAGTGTTAAATTTTGGACACCGGGCTCTCAACTCCATTAGACAGATTTAATGGCACAAATCAGTCACCTGGTGGTGCCTCAAAAGAAGGACCACAAACAGAAATCCCTGGGCAATCCAAAGTACCCACCAGTCCAGACCAATAGTGATTTTACAGTCTGGGGTCTTGTCAGTCTTCATTGGTTCACTGTTTTGCTACGCAGTGCTGCTCTGTGGTCATACTCACACCCTCCTAGGCTGTTTCAGGGGGAATTTCAGTTGGTTCTGTGGTCCATGTTGTAAATATGGTTGTTACTGCTCATGCACCACTATTTATGGGCTGTCCACTCCAGCTATTAATTTTAAAGTAATATTTAAGCCATTAACATTGTCTAGTCCAACAACTGCTAATGTTCAGGTTGTTAGCCTCAGGTTTTTCTATAATCCATCTTTGACTTACTCAGCAGAGCCTTGTAGTTCAAGTAGAGTTCAACTTGCAGCCTAACAACTCTTGCTGCTTATATCAGTTACTTTCAAATAAGAAAAAAATTTCAGCACACAGGATTCCTGTATTTCAGTTCAGCAGAAGAACCAAAGACTTAAATGCAGGTTTATTCACTGTTACTGCTGACTTATTTTCCTGCCCTAGACATCCCTGCACTCCACAGTGGCCTCACCTGCTCACAGCAAAGCCCTCTCCACCTCGCATTCCTCAGGACACGCCCGGTGCTTGCTTGGGCTGCTCTCAAGCTGCAAAATCATCGGGTGCCCAGAGCTTTCCACACTGCCCATCCTTCCAAACCCTTCCTCTTTTCCTCACTGAGCTACTGTACACTTCTTTCTTCCCCATTGAAGCCCCAGCTGCACATGAAGCACTGCTGGCAGGCCACATCTCATCTTCAGTTACCACCCACACTCCTCTCTGCACCTAAACCTTGCAGAAAACGGTGAGGGACAGAAATGTGAAATGTCACTGACTCAAACCAGCCATACTGCTGAGGCCCAGGTTTGCACCCCCAATGGAAGGGGGCAAGGAGAGGGTTTTTGTGTGTGGTGTTGAAACCTCTGATGTGCCCAAGACAGAAGAGGGTGCACACCCACATCCGGAGCACGACCATGACAAAACAAGCCGGGGCTTGAGCCAGACAAGGGACAAGGGTGATAAGGCACAGACCTTGTGGGGGTGGGAAAATGCTTTTTATCCCACCAATGTCCTCCCTTACACAACTGGCTCAAATGTAAAACAGCACTCCCCACCCAGGGGGAAGTATTGGCATATTCACACTTAGGCCGAAGGTATTTATCCCTTCTGATAAGGCATAATGTGAGAAAACACAATGTGAGAAACATTGGTCTAAGATGGGGTCATAAACCATCAAAGACCCCCAAAGTGCCCCCAGACTCATTTCTGGGGCCTTGCAACAGACAGTGTTAAATTCACCCTCTCCAAGGGAGGTACCTGGGCATTCCCACCTGACACCCATTAACCCACTGAACTCTACGTTTTGGGGCCCTCCCACATCCCTGATCAAGACTGCAAGTTCCACTTTGCCCAGCAGACATTGGAATTGCAACAATCAAATCTCATCACTGGGTCCATGGTGGTGATATTTCTGCAATCTACTCCTATCCTTGCTTTTTCTTTCTTTTCCTTATATATTTCCTTAAGTGGTATCTTTATATTTTTATATTGTCATATTACTAGAGATAACAACCAAAATGGCTACACACATCATTTCCATTGCAACCAAATTATCCTAAAATAAACCCTATGTGGGCATATATATACATATATATATATATATATATATATATATATATATATATATATATATATATATATATATATATATATATATATATAAACACCAGGTATTCAGTGTTCTTTCCCTCTAATCTGCCCCAAGGGACCGATTAACAAGAACCTCAGTTACTCTGGCCTCCAAGGGCAGCTTATAACAAAACCAAAACCCAAGGCCTTCTGCCATCTCTGTCCTTGTTTCCACAGCCACTGATTCCAAATGACTGCTTATGTCCTTCCCATATTGTTCTTTTTGCTATCTTTTATTATAAATCCAAGAGCTTTGTAACAGAATTTCTGTTTATCCCATAATTATGCAAAACAACAGGGAATGAAGGCACTTCCCTTCTCCCTCAAGTTTAATTTGAATGAAGACATGGCGAATGATTTGTCTTAGGCAGCTTGTTTGGAAGTGCTAATCCGCCAATATTTTCTCCTTTGGGTTTGTAACTCTGCTTTTTGGAGTGCAAAGAACTGTCCAGCCAAAGTTTTGTACTGTGTCTCAGACAAGGAAGTGTACTAGAAACTCCAGGCAAAAGCAAAGGGTGGGGGAAAGAAAAAAAGAAAAAATTCAATACAGTACAAGGAAGAACATGAAAAAGAACTGGGCCATCCAACTTGCCTTTCACATACATGTGAAAGTACAGAGAGAAATGTGATTTTCTATGTGAATGGAGCCATAACTGTTCACAAACCTTTCACAGTAGAATCTCCACCCTTTAGTAGAAGGCTACTGTGTTTCACTCTTTTGCTAACATGAAAATCACAGTTGTTTAATGTATCTTCCGGAACCACTATGTAGCTCTGGTTAACACTTCAGCAATATATATAAATTCAGCAAGATCTTTTATCCCAAATAAAAATTATCACACCATATTTTGTGAAATCTCAATTCAACTAAGACACCAAGGAGACCACTAAAAATCCAAAAGAAAATGCAAAACACATAAATACATTATCTGACCCAACAACAGAAAAAAGCTGCACAACCAGGAGATGAACCTAACAGACCTTCCAGGCCTTTCAAAACTAATGGAAGAGGGAAGGAGGAAATACTTTCACTTGTCTTAAAAAACAATTCCCTAAGCATTTTGTAAAAGCTGTTACTGTTTACAGCCATATTCGTGGTTATCTCTGGCTGGATAAAAACAATCCTTTTAAAAAGCTGTACTGGAAACACTAGCAATAGCTCTCAGCACATTCTCATAACATAGGAACAAACTACAAAAAGCTACTACATCTTTGATAACATAGAGAATCTTGAAAAGCTCTGTAAAAACAGCAAAAACAAACAAACACAAAAAAACAAAAGCAAAGAAAAACACAACAAAACCAGCCAAAACAGAAACTCACATAGAAAAATTCAGTCTTTCAGACAACTGCAACAAAACCGAAATTGCAGTTTCAATTCACTTTCTTAGGCAAAAAGCAAGACTGAAACAGTGAACGTTTGTGGTGTCGTGAGTTTTAAAATGTTTATATGAGTTTGGTTGTAAAGTTGGTTATCCCTTTTATAAGTTAAAACTATGGTTTGGCCCTCAGTTCCCCCATGTACTCCCCTCACAATGGTGTCTCTCTAAGTTGTTTGCCCCCTGTTTTCCCGCCAATGGCTTGTCCGTCAAGGTGACTGACCCCTTGATCCTTCCCTTTATGCCCTTATAAGTTTATCTCCTCCCTCCTGGCGCTGCCCACTTCCCCTGTATCATTTATTACCACCCCCCTTTATTTTTCACGAGAATTTTCCGTGTCAATCATCCCTTACTGATGTGCGATTTGCCTCCAGAGCCTCTTCCCTCCCCTGTGTGATCCTCATTGGTTCGGCTGCATCCCGCGTTCCTCCCCTGAGCTTCGTTTATTGCTCACCTCGTGTCTCCTCCTCTCACACCCACTCCCTTTATCAGTGCCTCCCCAGGCCTTCCCCCTCTGACACCCGTCCCTGGTGCTGCCTGGGAAATAGAGCGCCTTAGCATCCACACGAGTGTCCACTCTCTCCTTCCTTTATCTCGGGACTTCGTAGCCACGCTCGCCGCAGGCGGCCCCACTGCCCGAGGGTTTCCGAACCCGGGAGTGGCGGATCTTGCGGCCCCTCTGGCCACACATCGGGAGCGGCTCGCCGGCATTCGTCCGGCTCCCGTGGCCGCAGAGCAGGCTACACACGTTTACCCTGTCCCCTTCGTTTAAATGACAGCGCCATCAAAACAGAGGATCTGAACAAAGTAAGGTGCTACTAACAGGATAAGAAAATTATGACTTGTCTCTTTCTGCAGGAAACAGCACAGCAGCCTCTGAAAAACCTCAAATCTTTGGCAGAATTTGAATTGTTAGTTAGCAGACAAGTTTGTCAAGTCTATAAACACACTATTTAAGGCTGTCACTGACAGCCCGTGTTTTCCCGGGGCAGGGTCCCGCAGCACCGTTAGGAGCAGGTTCGGGAGCTGAACCGACAGCCCAAGTTCTCGGTTAGACCGAACCGCTGGAGCCGCCGGGCTGCGCAGGTGGGCTGGGTAACGCCCGGGCAGGGCTGGGAGGGCACACGGGGGGCGGCCCCGGCATCCTGAAGGATGTGCGGGAAATGCCAGCCCTGAACTCTGCTGGACACTCCCTTCTCACTCCTGGACGCTGCCAGAACCCCCCGGCCAACGAACAGCGGCACTACGAGCCGGTTCCCCGGCCGGGCCCCTCGGCGGCTGCAACACCGGGGCAGGCTCCCGGCGAGCTCCCGGTAACCCCCGCCGAGCCAACCCCCGCCACCCGCCCTGGGAAGCGCAGGGCACACCGGCAGCCGGGGGGCCTCGCTAGGCGGGCTCGGTGCCCGGCGACGACCGCGACCGCTCCTCTCCCGCGCCCCGCCCGTACCTGCAGTCCTGGGCCGCCTCTCTGCCCGCGGCTGCCGGCATAACATGGCGGCGGGACATGGCGAAGGGCGGGCCCGGAGACGGCAGCCCCTCGCCGAGCGGTCGGGTCATGGCACGGGCGGCACGGCGGGGCCCGAGCGGAGGAGGGGAGCGGCCGCCGCCGGTAGCATCGCCAGGAGCGCGGCTCGAACGCCCCACACGGCCGGAACGCCCAGCGCGGCCGCAGGTCACGGACGGGAGCTAACGGGCTCCGCTCTTCCTTTTTCAATGGGCTCGGGCGTTGATTGGCTGAGCGGCTGCAGCAGCTGCGTCTCCCATTGGTTTCTTTCCCGCCGAGGGCGGGACGTGTAGTCAGATCGTGGCTGTGATTGGCTGCTGCGGAGCGCAGGGCGGCAGCCGCCGAGGGAGGAAGGGTTGTTTGGCGCCTTGATCTCGTGCCGGTCCCCGGCCCGCGCTGCCGCTCTCTGATTGGTGAGCTGGAGACGAGCCCCGCCCCCCCGCGAGGCCCCGCCCCCGCCGCTCCCGGGGCGCTCCCGGTGTCCCGGGCGGGGACGCGACATTCCGGGCGGGGACATTCCGGGGGGGGGGGGACATCCCGCGGGTTTCGGTCACGAGCAGAAGCGTCCTGCGAGCAAAGCGCCCCGGACCGCCACCGAGCCGCAGCCCGTGCGGCTTGCACTGCGTCTGCAAGGAGATCCAGGCTGCGCATCCACCTCCGGAGCCGCGAGACGAGGTAGGGAAGCTAAAAAGTTGGAATGGGAGCAACTTCTTCAAAATCTTCACTAAACCCTGCGCCTGCCCGTCCTCAGCCTGCTGGGCAAGATTCCCTCTGTGCCTGGACTTCACCTGGGAAAGGCATCCCGAGTGGAATCCTGTGTCCTGCACCACCACCTGGCAAACACTTTGGACAAAATCTTGGACCAGGCAACTGAAGAAGCAGACCTGCCCGCTTAGAGAATGCCAGTACTGCTATCTGTAATATTCTGTGTAAATTTGCATATTTAGTCTGTAAAAACCAGCAGTATCAAAAAGTTGCTTTAGGAGTTCAAAGCAGGCACTGCACAGATAGGAGATATTCCCTATACGTATGTATTGGGTTTTTTGTTGGAGGTTTTGTTTAGCACTTTGCCTAAGAGTGGAGATGACCAAAGCCGCTGTTTTCCTGGTGTTTTCCTTGGATTCAGAAACACAGGAGACAGCTGACTGAAATGTTAAGGAGTGAGCCACCCCACGTCTCTTCTCGCACACTACCTTTGGCTGGCCTAAGGAAAGGCTGCAAAGCAGAAGTAACAGTAACACAGAAGGGGAAGCACAGGACCAAATAAGAAAATGTTTTTTAAACACTCAGATATCTGAGTCTGCCCTGTGCTATGCACCCCACCCCCTTTCATCATGCCCGTCCTTCAGTTTCTGTTTTTCAAAAGCTTTGAGCCATGTAATTTCTGATCTCTTAAACCCAGCCCCAAAAGCATAAAACACTGGCTGCCATCACAACATGCACCTTGCTTCTTCCTTCCTTGAGCCCCTCCTGCACCAATCCTGCCCTCAGCTGCAAGCTCTGTGCCCAGACCACCTATGACTATTTTGTTTTCTGGAGGGGATCCCACTGTTTGACAACACACTTCTAGACCCACTATGCACAACACTACAATAAATCACAATAAATCTATGTTTATGCTGAGTGTAACTTCCTTGAGCAACAACTGAAGAACAGTTTGACTTGCTGTCATATAGATTTGTTTGAAAAGACAGTAGTGTGTATATGAAGTACCATTAATAAAGTGTTAAAGTTTCATGCCCACTGTTATCCAGAAATATTTTTATAACACGTTGAAGGAGCAGATGAAATTGAAGTCCTATAAACATTTGCTTTGTCATACAAGTTTAATACTTTAACCATGAAAAATGGCAATAGACATAGAGGCATTTCTACAGTTAAGTCACCTTAAAGAGTTTCTAAAAAACAACCAAGGAGTTGGATACAGAGCAGCTTCAACAGAACATCCAATTCCAGCATTGGTGATGGCAAGGTGAAGCTGTTTATCATGGGAAGTAAGGAAGAATTTCTGAAGTGGCAGAGGAACTGTGCAACTCTCCTATAACTGTAAGTACAAGAATAAAAGCAAACACAATCAGAGAGGCTGGAAAAGGAAGATTTTGCTAAGGAACCACAGGGAGTGGCAGGTAAGAGCAAAGACTGGTATTGTCATAAGTTACCCCCTTGAGATTAAGTGTTGTAAATTGCTTTTTCCCCAATACAGGACCCAGTCAGTGTGGAAACAGATCAACCACTATTTATTAGCATACCTTTTATTAAATTGTTGTAGTCTGCTTACTAATAGCACATCATTATCCAGACAGTAAATTCAGTTATTCTATCAAGAGTCACACACATGCCATCACTCAGCCAGTAGGGAAGGAAAAGCTGATCACAGTGGTTTTCTCATATACACACTGACGTGCCACTGGCTTCAGGGTCAATGCTCAGAAAGAGAAAGGAAATGTTTAAAGATTTTCATTGTTTTTCCTGGGAGAACACAGATACTGAAAAAGGTTGTGGGACTGATGGAAGGGATAAAGCCCAGTGTCATGTGGAAGTGCTCTGATATAGGCAGCCATTATTCTTTGTGCTGCACATGTAAAGGGGACTGCTGAGCACTATGCAGGCTGTTTTTAAGTAGAAAAACACTTATTTTGAAACCAGAATAATAATGTTTTCTTTAGACATAGGCTGGTTTCCTCTGACTGAATCATACACCTGAGCACAGAGCCAGGAGCATGGCAGCAGCTCCCATGAACAGGTCTGAGCCAAGCCTGTGTAAACTCATCAGGGTGATGTGCTTTTCCAGGCACCTCCACACAGCCTCCTGCCTGGGGTTGCCTCAGCTGCTCTTTGTTCCCTTCATCTCCAATCTGCTGTGTGGTTTCAGCACAGCCACAAATTACAGCAGAGTTCAGATACAGACATTTATTTCTTGGCATCCCTGGTTTCCTTTCCTTCCATCTTTCTGGAGAAAAGATTCCCTTTCTCACTAATTCCCAGATGTTATCAGATCAGACACTCCCTGCTGTGCGTTGCAGGAACCAATTTACGCCTCCTTTACCACGCAGACACTGATACCTTGACATGCAGCTCATGGAGCAGACTAAACTCGGCTTTAGGTAAACATCTGGAGAGAATATTTATGCTACCACTTTCAATTGCAATAACAGTTTAATCAGGGGAGAGGGTTTGTATCTCAAGGTTGTGAAGTATATGTGTTTTTCAGAGCCTGCTTCACCCAGGGAATTGTAATGTGGAACTCAACTAGCACACCAGTTCCTTTTTTTGACTGGACAAAAAGCTGGCAGCACTGCACTGATATGTCAAGGGGACACAGTGTGTAGAAAATATCTGTCTGTACGTAATAATTCTACTACATTAATATACATTTACTAATCATAGTTACTACATAGTTTACTACATAGTTTGCTCACTTTAACACTAATGATTCTCCTGACACACATACCTATTCCCACAACCATTTTCAAATCATCCTTGATCAGTAAATTCCATCTATTCTATTCCCTACCTTTTATTTATTCAACTTTTTCAAAGTTGTGGGTTCCAGGTCTCTCAATACTTAAAGTTTCATTGGCAATAGCCATGTAACCACACACACAAAATCCCTTTGTTATGACTACAAGGAAAAGTCTGGTTTATAGCTTAAGCAAATTAAAAATGGAAATGGCCTTCACCTGTGGCTTCTTAAGCAGACATCCATGATGTTAACACATTCACCAAAGATAATTCCTGTCCTTGATGCTCCCTTTCCATGGAGGCTGTCTCTGGGTAAACTTACTGTTAATCACTAATTGTTTCTGTAAAGATTAATCGTTCTTGGCACAAAGGTGAAACACAAAAAGAAAAGATGAGGGACAATCCACTGCTAGCAGGCTATGAAAAGGGCTTTCCTTCAGCAGCTTATAACTGTTTATCTGGCCTTTCCTCCACAACATGAACATGTTGCTCTCTGCTTAACAGGCAACAAAATTTTAGTTGGTAGGTTCAGTTAGCTAACCAAGTTGCCAGACCTCTCTTATCTTCTTCCACTTCCATGTTATGCTGTGACCAAGCTCTTTCAAATATATTTCTTTTGCAAAGATTGAGGGGATTCCTGAACCAGCCTTAAATATCATAATTCTTTCACAATCAGAGTTCTGATGAAGCTTGGGACTGCTCAGCTTTCAGAATAATTAACAGAGAAATGCCTGCTGGGACAGGGGAATAGGAGTCACAGCCTCCATCAGAGGTAAGCAGACAGGACATGTGATATCTGGCCAAAATCAGGAAACACTGTTATATTTCAAAAGCTAGACATGCAATCACTCAGTAAACCCCCTTACACTGACTTTCTACTACTTTTAATCTAAGTTCCATGTCTGAGTGAACAAATGGAAGGCTATATATCAAAAGTGGCACACACTAGCAAATCTTCTTTAAAGGACTTTTTATTTAGTAACCAGATACATCTGCAGGACCAGCCAATTCACCTAGAAGCCAGGGAGCTTCACAGCTGTTACTTCAGTGAGGAAAAGGCATCATCACAGCTTGGTGAGAGGGGAACAGGCTTTGTAAAAGCAGAAGGGAGTTAGATGTTAATAGGAAAAGTTGTGGCCACCTTGTCTAAGACCTATGGGGGAAGAAGCAAGATTTTTAGGGAGACAAATTCACTGCAATAACTTGGATTTCTTAAGTAAATTACAGGCTAAAAATTGGTTCAAACTAGCTCAAAAACTAGATCTAGCATCATCAAGAGGAACCCAAAATATGTAACAAGGATTTGAAAGTCAGCATTACATCCTTAGTGTTATGCAAGCAGTCCTCATGGCTTTTGACACGTGTCTTGGAATCCACAAGCATGAGGGTGTGAAAATTTGAGTAAAACATGTGACAGGGAGTGAGGAAAATAAGTTCTCTTTAAACTAAACTTCCCTTTTCATTAAGAAACATACTGAATCTTGTTACATTAATTTTTTTACAGGCATAGGTCAGCAAGTGTAGCACACATTTCATCTTCCTAGAGCCTTGCATGCTTTAGAACACCCTGCCAGTCTAGCACTCCAGCCAGCTCCCGCATCCTGGCCCATATCAGATGGCAAGGATGAGTCCTAGCATCCTCCTTGGATGTCTAAAGCCAAATCACTGCTAGAAATGCACAAAACTGGACAGCACAGGGTGTTGGCCAGAACCTTTTCCACTTAAAAA